GTGTTTATTTGAGGCTTTTGCAGGAATGTGTCTCAGCTATGACGATGTTCGCTGCATGACGAACGAAAGCTCAGCTCATCTTCGCCAGCAACGTTGGAGGGTGGCTCGTGGATTTGATCAACCTGAACGCCGTTTTATGGCCAAACGGATTCAGTTCAACGCGAAGCAGCCGACGTCTTCTCATGAGTTTGACCCATGAATCTCTTTATCATGTACTTCTTTACGAAATGAGCCCCTTCACATCACTCTTACCTCACGAGATTCTTCAAAGCCAGCATTTTCTTCGTATAGATAGGTCTATTGCCAACCGCTTTTCGCAGTATGGAGGCCCGACCATTAAGCGGAAATTTAGGCTGTCTACAGAAATATACATCCTGAATACAATCAACGAGTGTTCGAAATTAAGCGGAAACTATTTGTATTCGAATGTGAGTAGGGTTCCGAGACTACCAGTAAATCAGTGTAATGAGATTTAATTCTACTACCAGTCCTTCATCACCTTACAGGAAACTATTTGTGTTTGTCGGATAGTATTAGATAGACCGAGACGGGAGATGAAACAAGATGCATCTTCGAGCTTTCGGACGAGGATTGAGTATTCTCAAATCTGTATTTAACTCTCAAGCCTCACGCCTCTCACGAGCATCGCATGCAGACCAACATGTGCAATGGAACACAATCACATGCGGCACTATTTCAGGATCAAACCAGAAAAGATAATTGTTTTATGCGAGGACACAGCTGTTCGGTCACAATTGCATCCGTTTCACGTTCAAGTTACAGCCACTTCACATGTCACCCGAAGCCATTTTACTTTTCAACAGCACGTATGAAAAGCAAAGGATCGCCAACCAATTCATGAGATATCTCACTAATTGGACCTATCTAGGCCATAGAAATTAGTTAGGATTGCATCCGGCCACCATTCTCGTCTTTGTTCTCGGTGAATTATCGTAAAGCATGGTTTCTTACTGTGACGATATCCGTCACATGACGGACGAAAGCTCAGCAAGGATTCATCTGGGTCGCAGGGTGGTGCGTCGCGGACGTATTCGTATAAATCTGCTATCTCAGCTCCAAGAAAATCCTCCTACACCTTCAGCTGAGGCCAACTTATGAATACCTTCCACCCGCCTCTTCAAACGAAATGGAAGCTATTCCAACATGAATGCGTATGAAGATTAGGAGGTGAAGGAGGTGAATTTGAAGACAAATGAGAAGATTAAAGAGAAGCTCTGAAAAAGGAGAATGAGAAGCGGGTAAAGATTAAGAAGAGGAAGGTGAAGGTAGAGTTTAGATGCTCTGTGATTGGCAAACTGAATCATATGTTTACGGATAAGTTGAAGCTGAATGTGAGTGTTATTGAGTAGCTGATACAGATGTTAACGGACAATTTGCGCTAAATAAAAGCCAGCCACATGAAAATTGTTGAAGTCAAATCCCTTAATTTTCCTTCCTTTTTGCTGCCCATAGAACATCTGGGATGTTCTCCTGATTTCTGTTGGTCTGCCTACTACATTTCATGATACACTCGGTGCAAACTTTTTGGGCTGAATTATTCAGTCTCAAGGTAATGTGGCAGACTAGTGATACAAGATACGAATGGAGAGAAAAAAATTGGTACAGACTTGTGAAAAGTGGTCAAATCGACTCTCTACGTTGTCATCTCTTTCACCTTTATTTAACTCTTCCTCCTTCTTTCAGCTGCCGTTTGCTGAGGTAGCTGGAAAAATTCTCGTACTGGTGGTTTACGATTTCGATCGCTTCTCTAAGCACGACCAAATAGGCTTGGTTAAAGTTCCACTCAGCTCAATTGATCTTTGCAATACTATCGAGGAATGGAGAGACATTGAATCCCCGGAATCTGATGCTGAGAAGGTGAGTATTAGAGCAAGATTAAAATATTCTCCTAGCTTGACTATTAAAAAAGTCTTGGTTTCTAAGACAATTTTATTTATTTTCTATTTGTATAAAAACTTGGAGTGGAATAAATTCTAAAATTTGCCTCATAAAAGTTGTTACTTCCCAATTTTTCCGTACCACGATTTATCTGTACTGATCTTTAGACTATTGTCATAACAGAACGCAGCAGAGCCAGAAAGCATTCCTTCAGAAAACTCACTAAAATCTAAACCCTAAAATGTGGCAAGTTGTTAACCTACATTCTTATTGTTGGCTACTATCTGATTCATCCTACATATATGCAGATATATGGAGTTGTAGTGGATATGACTGTAGGAGGTATTTTCAGACCTTGCCTCGGTGTTTGGTAAGATTTTCGATTAAAAGGCCCTTTCATCCAAGTCCATCTTCGAAGGGAAAAGTCCAGTGACATCAATTCCTTCTGTTTTTTCGCAAGACTAGCCTAAGCGAATGAGGTACCTTGAATAGTCGTAGTCAAGTTGGACTAAGTAATTTTTGAATAAGAATGTGTTTCTGTTTAGGTCACTTAAGGTAATGAAGGAGCGACCGTTAAGCTTTTATAAAGAAAGTAATGGTAGAGTTCCTGTAGCTTCGACCTCGCCTGTGTCTCATCGGCACCGCAACGGGATTCGAATAAGGGTCTTACCACATCGCCACACTGACAATGGGTGCCAATAAGTCAGAGAATGATTGTCGTAAATCCTTTTACTCATGTAGAAGTAAGAAATCCAACTATCACTCTAGCATCATCTTAGGCGACCACAAGATAGTTTTGAAAAGTAGTCACTAGAACGATTAGTTTAGCCTCATGGATGGTTAGAAAATCAGATTAACAAAAGAGGGGTGAGTACCTGTTGATGAACCAACACACACGATGAGACACTCACATTCTTATAGATTAGCGTATGACTTGTACCAGCTAAATCACTCTATGCCTTATATAAAAGCATGGATAGGAAGAGGCCGGTGAGTTTTATTAACTCCTTGTAAAAATGTAAATCTTGTTTGATGTTATCCGTCATATAATATGAAGGAAAAGTTTGTTGGAAGGAATTCGTAATATGGTCTCACCGGAAACCGAAGGAGGATTGCCGCGTAGAAAAGACTGTTGAGTTGTGCGAAGAAGTCGTTGAATGACTGATCAATCTGTGCTAATCTTATGTCCGTACCGTTGTGATAGTCATCATCATAGCAGGAACCAATAGTTAACAAAAGAGAGAAAAAATATACGAAACCAGAATAAAAGGTGGCCAACTGCAACCCTAGTCGCTTTTTAAGTACACCTAACCTTGCGATATTAATGAGGGATCCCATGCTTTGGTTGGCATATACAATTTGAGGTAGTAGCGACTAGCGTTGCAGTCGGCCACCTTTACTTTTGGTTTAGTCTTTTTCTGAGCCATTTCTTAAAGTAGGGATTCTTGCTCTGATGATGTCTGTCACAGTACAGACGAAAACTTAGCATAGGTTCATCAGGTTCGCAGGACAGTGAGCCGAGGACTTCTTTACACAGCACAACAGTCTTCCCTACGCGGAAAACCTACTTCGGTTTCCAGTGACACCATGTTACGAATTATTTCCAGTCAACTTTTCCTCCGAAATGGAAAGTCACTAAGGAAATTGTCGAAACCCAGTTTTTCTGTATATCTTAAAAGATAAGAACAGTTTAATCGGGTTCATAGAAGATTGCCTCGGGAACAGCGCCATCCAGAATGTTCCAGTAACAACAAACGATAGCTAGTGAGGAGGGCTCTGTCGTCGTCTTCTGATGGGATCGACCGAGAAAAATCCCTTCATGACACGCTCTTACTTAAAATTCAAGTGAGCTCAGCAATTGTAAGGCAAGAAACTTTACGAAATTCAACTTTTCGTCGTATAAATCAGCGTAATTTTACTTAGATTTGGCAGGATTTCGAGAATATTAGTAGATCTTGAATAAGAGCTTTTGTCATTCTAGGTCGCTTAAAGGGACGAAGGATTGATGGCTGATTCTGCATAATCATATGAGGTCATAAGGTCGAAACTGCAGTCCACTCTGGAAGAAAATACTTTGAGTGAGCAAGGCTAAATGAAATTCAGTTGTATCATGAGGCCTCCTAGGTTGATTGTTGCAAAACTTACTATCAGTCCTTTATCACCTTAAGCGATTTGATGCTGGGAATCATCACAACTACTATGGCAGACGACTTAGAACTAGGTGCGTTCTACTAAGCCGCTCTGACAACAAGACCAAGTTGCGACAACGAGGTCAACCCACTTCTATAAATCGAAAGGAGACTTCGATACAACATCTTGGTCTTCATGTCATTGATAGATTATAAACCCTATCAATCCGAATACAAATTTCAATTTGCCTTGATAGGAGCCAAGTTTGATATGCTAGAATTAAAGTTGGACCAAAGAATCCGTGCTTTGCTGAAGTTGGTCCGTCAGCAACCCGAATTAAGCTAGATACAAAGAGTAGGCCGATAATTTATTCAGCTTACAAGGAACAGGTGCTCGAACTGCGACCAAAGAAAGTGTTACAAAGATACCTTTCTTTGCTGTTCACACTTGAAATGATATCAAGGCAGACAGTTAAGCCGAAAGGTATGGCGTGAAATCGGGCTTCTTAACCAGCATTCGGCCACATTGTAGTTACTAGAGTGTCTTAATCTTTGCAATTAACTCAAATTTAGATTTAAAGGTTGAAAAGATACTTAAGATAGCCCATACATCTTGAAAAAACCCATAAGGTGAATTATGTAAAAATCAAACTTTTGTCGTCCACACATGGGCCATCTATGCTGTGGATGAAAATAGGCGATTCCATTTTGTAGGTTTGTTAGAAATCTGTTAAATAGGCTATTCTATCCTCAATCAGACTTGAAAAGAATTACTGTGGTGAATATTTTAATTAGATTATACCAAAATAACTTATGAGATATATATTTACTCTATTTTATTAAGGCTATTAAAGTACAGGTAGTTGAATTTTCCCACAAATATATATGTAGACCTTAGATTTCCATTAAATTTCAGATAGCCTTGCTTCCCAAAAGCTATGCTTGTCCATAGTTGACTGTATTTTCCACCTCGCATAGGCCTCCTCAGCACTCTCAGCGAAACTTGAATTTGGATCGTGGTAGTGCAACGTATAGTCTCGACACGTTAACCACTATGCCACACTACCACGAGTGCCCTTGGATCACAGAAGAGATGTGAATTTTGAGGAAGGCCAGGCATTTTCCCATATCATATTCTGTGGTGGGATTGTCGATGAAGCAAATTTTTATTTGCTATAGCAATCGGCTACTCTAATTATTTTACTCTTATAAGTAGGCTTTCGAGCCTACCAGTAAGTCAAAATATAAAATTCACATCTGCCATGTGAGCCAAGAGGTGATCATGGTAGTGTGCTCTAGCGGTTAATGCTTCATGATTATACTCTGCACTATCACGGTTCATATCCTGCTGAGGGTGCTAGTTAGTCTTAGGCGAGATCACAACTGCAGTCCATTCTGGATGCTCATACCTTTTTGGAAGCAAGGCTATGTGAAGTGCAATCGAAGCGTAAGGTCTTCTCATATGATTGTGGGAAAATTCAACTACCAGTCCAACATCACTTAATAAGATGGAGTGAATACATCTCATGGATATAATCAGCTGGTAGGTTCATGAAACTTACTTAGAGACTAAAATAGCTTGTTTGACAATACCCAGGTCCTTAAAGTCCGTATACATTCTACTAGATCTAAACCTATTTAAGGATTAGAGAAGAATGATAAATTTCCTGTGTAAGAACTTAATCATCCTAGATCACTTATGCTGATATAGGAACTATTAGTGGAGTTTTTCCCATAGAATTTCGCCAAGACTTGCCTACCCAAAAGGTTCTTAATCTTGTGTGGACTGCGGCGTGAACCTCGCCACTTTATCTCGTCAGGTCAGATGGGACTTTCAGTACAAGATAAATCTATATCTGATCACTTTCTTAGTAAGATTTTCGCTGAGGCACACATGTATTCACCATTACAAATGAATAAGAACTGTGTTCACCTTATTACGTTTAAGGTGATGAAAGACTGGTAGTTGAATTTTCCATAAATACATGACTAGGCCTCATGTGTCCATTGAATTTCGCATAGCCTTGCTTCCCAAAAAAGGTTTTATCATCCAGAGTAGACTCTTGCCTAATGTGTCTTAATAGCACCCCCAGCGGAGCTCGAACTCAAGTGGTGCGCTATACAATCTCGACAATTTAGTTATGCTTTTTGGTTTGACCTTGTTCTCGTTACTTGGTCGGAGCGTTAGGGAGATCGTGTGGAACGTACCTAAATCTGCGTCCTTTGTCATATTATTTGTTATTTTCAGCATGGGATCATTGACTTGGTACATTCTCAGACGTTTCGCCGGTATCGTAATCGGGACTTGTAACGCTCCGAGCAAGTTGCGAAAAGAGGTTAAATTAACAATCTAAAGCTAAATAAGACTGCAACCAAGCAGAAGGCCAAACAATCTTGGTCTTCGCATTTACGATCCATTTATGTTTGATTACATATTTTCGATATGAAGGTCAAGATGTTGTTGCTCAGTCTCGCTACATAAAACTGGTTTGACCTGGTTCTCAAACTTTGGTCGTTTTGTCTCATTTAATACACCTAGTCCAGGGTCTTCTGGTATGACAATCAAGCTAATTTACAGCCATAGTC